AGATTTGTCTGCTGTTCAGGTAATTACTTACCAAGTATTTTTGGGTCTAGTTTTTAGTGGAAATATCTCAATACACTGGAAATAAGACAAAATTAACTTACACACAACTTTTCAACAAGAAATAAGAGCTTGTTCTATGAAAATATTAGTTCCACTGGCAAATTATTTCACCTGTAACATGGGGAAATGTCTTAAGCAAAATAATCTGTCAGGGGGAAAAAGTATATTTTTTATTAATATGAAGAAATTATTTACGTAATTCAACCTCCTACGTCTCGCTGAGAAATAGGACTTGAAGTTTTTCTTGTCTTACTTCAAGTGCACTAAGATATCTGCACTAGAAACGAGGCAAAAAAATATTTGAGAATTCGGGTCTCAACAGGAGGAAACGCTGGTATGGCAGCTGCTTATTCTGCCCGCCAGCTCGGAGTTCCTGCCACCATCGTGGTTCCAAGTATCACCCCCAACCAGACGGTGGAGAGGCTGAAGGACCAGGGGGCAATTGTTGTTGTTCATGGAGAGGTTGGTTAACTCAGCTGTGATCTTGTCAATATCATCAGATTATTATTATTATTTTTTTAGCGGTGTGTAAAAATCTAATGTAGTTCCTATTGAATCTTTATTTTGTTCACAACAGTGTTTAGGAAAGCAGTTTGTATCAGAAGAAGATGAAAAGTGTTGCTCAAAAATCATGTCTGGATAGATTATTACACCTAACCAAAGCAGGGGATAAAACAAGTTGACATTATGAACATTAATAAAGATTTTATTTTTTTCCTGACAGGCTTTTGTAATTTTAACTGAGTTGTGTCTCGTCTCTTTCAGGCTCTGAATGAAAGCATTAGTTACGGACAGCAGCTTGTGGCAAACAATCCAGGCTGGATATTCGTCTCCCCCTTTGATGACCCGCTCATATGGTGAGACAGAGTCAGGCTCTTTGAGCATAGCAAAAGTATTTAAAGCTAAAATATGCAATGCATTTATTGGGATTTGACGCAAGATCCCAGCACAAAGCAGTGCATATATTTGAAGTGGAAGGAAAAAAAGAGACATTGTTTTTTTTATTTTTTTTATTTTCACAAATAAATAAATAAAAAGAAGGTGATTCATATGTCCAAGTTGTCCTGAACACACCATGCTCACAGCGAAGCATGGAGGAGGTGGAATCATGCTTAATCCAAATGAGAATTTATAGCAAGATCTGAGAGATGCTAGTCTGTAGGAACTCCATCCAACCCGATTGAGCCTGTGCCGCATTGCAAAAAAGAATGGGCAGAACTGTTAAAGAATTTTGAGACCATCTGTCATTTCCCTTTGACTTACTTTGTGTTTCTCTGCGTAGACATATGCAACACATACATATGCAACATAGACATATGCAACATAGACATATGCAGTATCTAACATATGCATCACCTACATATGCAACATCTACATGCAACATCGACATATCCATAAAGCACTAAGACCATATACATCAACCAAAGTCACATAGCAACGACATAGACCAACGACATCCACACATATGACTTCTACTTATTTTTGACACAAATGGGACCCCATAACAGTTAACATTAACCGCTTGTTGACAGGAGTTAGAATGTCGATAGGTGTCAAACGCAGCCACAAATACGTGAAAACAGCACCGCACACTATTTGACATTAGAGCAGTTCATAAGAGATTTGCACTGCGTAAATCCGGCTGCACTGTCCACAGATTGTCCGCATTAGTGTAAATCGCAGCTTCGCTTTGTGAAGGGAAGGACACACGTCTTTGGTGAAGGAGCTGGAGCACGATCTGAAGGAGAAGCCTGGAGCCATCGTGCTGTCGGTGGGAGGCGGAGGCCTGCTGAACGGAGTGGTGGAAGGACTTCGCCGCGCCGACTGGGCTGACGTGCCAATCGTAGCCATGGAAACCGTAGGAGCACACAGCCTGAATGCAGCAATGAATGCTGGAGAGCTTGTCACTTTACCTGCCATCACAAGGTACCGCACTTGGTTCACCAGTCCTTTTTCCTCCTCCTGACGCAACTGATTTAGTGTTTTTGGCGCCCGCAGTGTTGCAACCACACTGGGCCTGCTGAGGGTGTCGGCTCAGACAATGAAACTAGTGAAGGAACACACGGTTTTCTCAGAAGTGGTCTCTGACCAGGAGGCTGTGAGAGCTGTTGAACACTTTCTGGGTGAGTGAAACCTGCATCTGGGCAGAAGAGACGGGGAAAACATACCGCTGACGCTACAAACGCCACACACAAAGACATTTAAGGTTTTCTTTTGTCCACTCATTATACTGCTCAGAAAAGACAGCGAGGAGACGTTTTTGAGTACAAACGTTACAAGTTTTGAGAAGAAACACGTGAAGTCCTGCTTTCAAAATGAACATGTAAGCAAAAGTGTTACAAGTTTTGAGAACAAAAGACATGAAATCCCGCTCTCAGATCAAACAACGTGTGCTCTTGGATTATGGCAGAAAAATTCCCCCATAGATGTGGGGAAATTTGCAAGCCTGAGAACAACATCCCAACCATGAAGTACAGGAGTATCATGTTGTGGGAGTGCTTTGCTAGGGTGGGGGTTCTGATGTGCTTTCCAAAACAGATGACTCAGCCAGGAAAGAACAATATGATAAAATATTGAATCAACATCATGGAGGAAGTTAAAACCTGGATACCAACGAGTCGTCCGAATTGTCAGCGACTACAAAACATCTGACCCAAGTCATGTAGCAATTCCAACAAATACTAAGGAAATGTATGCACACTTCTGAATCTAAGCTATTCTTGATACAGCTAGTAGGGTCAGACAGTGTCTGTTTGTACAGTGCATGTAAAATACTGACTTTACCTTCAGAAATCAGCCATGAAACTGATCTGTCTATTTTTTCCTCTCTTTGCAGATGATGAAAAGATCTTGGTGGAGCCAGCCTGCGGTGCCGCTCTGGCAGCTGTGTACAGTGACATTATCAAAAGGCTGCAAGTCGAGGGCAAGCTGGCACAGCACCTGGGCCCAGTGGTGGTGGTTGTGTGCGGCGGTAACAACATCAGCATGGAGCAGCTCCAGAGGCTGAAGAAGCAGCTCGGCATGATCTAGTGTCACTGACCACCCTGGGTCTTCCTGACATTTCTGTCTCAGTCTCTCTCTCTCTCTCCCCCTCCCTCTATCCTTTCACCAATCTCAGTCCCTAAACGCTGTTATTCATGTACCCCACAGATCGAATCATTCCAGACTGAAACTCTCAGGAGCACTGACACTGACTGAAATGAGATGAGATAGTGAGAATATAAAAAAAACAAACAAATAAACATCAGCTTTAGTGGATATAAGATAAAGAAAACTGACACATTGAGTTTGCATACGTTTTGGCTCCTTGCTTGTAATAATGCCTGTGTGTTATTCAGCTTTTTTATTTGTACTCACATTAATAAATTATATTTCTTTGTCTTCTTATCATTTCTCTGCCCTCTTGTTCTTGAATGTGAAACACTGCCCAGTTTTCTGCCTCTTACCATAAGCTTCAGCTAATATACATGAAACATAAACAGACAGACGTGTGTGTGTGAGTGTGTGTGTCCTATTTATTTATTTAGCCTACAATACAATAGCAGGGAAATATTGGTCAATTGACAGATTAATTAAAAAAACCTTGAAAACAAAGATAAAATAGAGCTCCCCCTAGTGGCCTCTTCGTTGCCGAACATACATAGTATATTCATGGGTGTCAATTTCAAATGAGATTCAAATTATTTATGTTAACAACTCATCCTAATGAAAATACTTAAAATTTAATGGAAAATACAATTTCATAGAACATAGTTTTTTTTGGTGAGGATTAAACTTGGACACGCACCTAAAATAGCTACAAATCACACCCGGGTATCACATCAGGTGCACAGTCATTAGAACACCATCACTGCCTCCGTCTTGTAAAGTGAGTGTAAACACGACTGTAAGATTGAAAAAGTTGTCTGGGACGTTCAGGAAGAAGATTGCAGCAGTTTTTGAGTCACTCTGCCTTCTGGAAAAAAGTATTCAAATGAACTGATAGAAAAATATGTCTCACTGCTGTTACTTCAATCAAAAGGAAGTGCTCAGCTTTTCTCCAGCCAGAAAACACTTTTTTTTTGTCGAAACCGTTTGCTTAATGAAAAAAATAAGTCACTTTTTGTTGAAGTATTCCAGAAATTTTTAAAAATTAAAATCAAACCTCAATATGTGAACATTTATCGATAAAGAAATGAATTTTCAATCACAGTTCACATTTTTATATGATGATATGAGTTACTGGTGGTTGAATTAATGAAGCTGAATCGAGGCATTGGAGGAAAATGTGTTTAAAGCAGCAATGGGCTTGTGTCTAAGGCAGACATTAACCTTCAAGCGACAATGGACCTAAACATGCACACAAAACTACGGCGAGATGGTTTGGATCAAAGCATATGGGAATGGCCTAGTCAAAGTCTAGACATTTGTACTAAACTAAATATTTGTGGCAAAACTTGAAAATTGATTTTCAGAAAGAATTTCGGTTGGATCTGAATGAGCTTGAGCTACTTTGCAAGAAGAAATTTTTCAAACATATGTCAAAAAGAGTTGGAACTGTGAGTGCAGTGAAAGGTGGTTCTGCAGCGTATCGGCTCACGGGGGTCAATATGCGCACACACACACACACACACACACACACACACACACACAGAGTTAAAATTCACATATGGTCTTTCTTTCACTTCAGATTTATGCTCTACTTTGTGCTGACCTGTCGGATGAAATCCCAATAAAATACACTGAACTTTGTGATTGTCACGTGACAAAAGGTGAAACTAGAACATTTGGGCTGATAAAGACATAAACAACACGCATGGGGATCCAGTCGGATCCAGCCTGGCCCTGCACTGGCCGCTCTGGGACAGGTGTGTGGTTTACAGTCTGCTGTGATGCAACCAGACTGTGTCATTGGGTCATAAGTTAAAGGCAGAAAATTAGCCCCGATATTGGTCACCTATGATTAACAATCACTGCCTAATATGCATCTGTCTGGGATTAAACGTACAAAAACAAAAACATTAGAAACACTGTTTGTACATGAAGACATTTCTTTATTATGACACAGAAATCTCAAATGCCATTTGATTCTTTACATCTGTATAATCCATTTTAGATATGTTACGTTTCTCATGTGCAGAGGTAAGACAGTAAAAGTTAAGTTAATGCAACCATAAATAATTGTAATAAATATCAAGTAAATGTACAGCACACATTTCATCGAAACAATTCTTTGTACGGATATGTCCTTTTTGTAACCTATTGTTACCCCTCCAGAGGAGAAGTCAGAGAGAAAGAGAAGAGAGAGAGCAACCCTGTTAGCAGCGGTACGTCACCCTTTAAAAGAGCCCATCCAAAACCCAAAATCCTGGAAAAATAAAAACAAACAAAAAAGAAAGAAAAAAAAAAAAAAAAAAAAAGTTTCACTGCACCAGCAGTCAGTCCTGTGGTTTTCTCCACGTAAAATGGCGATTTCACTCACACAAGAGAACGCGTTTCACCATGTGTAGAAGAAACTCAAACCATCCGAGCACAAGACAAAGGTGATCAAGATTTACTGGTATTCCCAAAATTCATAAAAAGCAGCAACACAACAAACCGGAAACCCAGACGGACGTCGTCTAGTTTGCTCGTTTTTCAGATTCTTTTCTCGGAAGAGTAGTGCAAAACTCAAAATGAAATCGGAAGGTGAAGAGAAGAAGCGAGTAAAAACTGCCAGCAAACATTACCTCAGTCTATTTACATTTTACTAGATGATTATTAAATTTTTCTTTTTTTTTTTAATTAAACACAGCAAAAACATTTGGTTATGGGTGAAATAAAAAGAAACCTCTCATCCTCAATCATGAAAAATCAATAAATGAATGGCAAAACTGAAGATTACTCACTGCCAACCCCTCCAGTGTACGTGTGTAGATTGGATATGACTACTAGATTAACATGACTTTTTACATGACTGAAAAACCCTCTCTTCAGACTCTTTATTAGAGGTTCTCCGATACATAGGCATAAATGAGTTTGTCCATTAGCAGGCCGTATTGTTAAAACAGGCAGTAAAACTACGTAAAGCCCTGTACAGCATTTGTTCACACCTGCTCCTACAGTAGACAAGTCAGCAGACTCCAATTGATCGTAATCATATCACCGAAAACCCTTTTGGTTCTCGTCACACAACAGAGGCTCCTACAGCGACAGGCGAGGGTCAGAGCGTCACCCCCACGGAGGGGAGGTAGCATTGAGCTGTGAGTGGAGGCTTTTCACTGTGGCCTTCAGGGCTTCATCGACTCCGATAGAAACCACTTTCTGAACGCTCAGCTATAGGATTTGCAACTGTAAAGTGCTGTTCTGAAGGTAGCTAATAGATTTTTGTTAAAGTTACATAGCTGGCTCAAGGAAAAAAAAGAAAAAAAAATGAATACAGGAACAAAACTCTTTCACAGCTGTTTCACTTCAATGCCCTCCACAATCTCAGTGCAACAAAGAGTAAATCAGACTTATTTGTAGCCATCACTGCCGATTAAAATCATCCTCCCTGAATGAAACAAAACGCAGAATTTAGGCAAATGGCGATGAAAACAATATGTCGGTTTCCTTTCGAGATAAAAAGCGTTTCGCTTCGCTGCTCAATGGCGAAGCAGCGAGTGTCGGCCTGCGGTCGGTCTCAGAGAAAGATCCATGAGGGGCAGGAGGTGGTGGTGAGATGTTGGGTTCTGCTGCTTGGGAATGTCGGCTTCTCGGGGTCTCCTCAGCCACTCAGAGGATCTTCGCGGTAGTGGATGGCGTAGCGCAGCTTCTCCAGCATCACATCCAAAGAAGTGTACTGTGGCAGTTTCACCATGAACATGCACGTTTCCACTCGAATGTAGCGCGAGTCTGGCTGACCTGGAGAGGAAACAGAAATATGGGTTTTATTTTACTCTCAGCCTACGAGGTGGAAAACGGATACTAGAGAATCCTGAACACAATCCTCGTGGTTAAACACGATAGTAGCATCGTTGTGCTTGGAATACAGAAGCCTGCCTGAGTTGATGGATATTTACGTTTTGAAAGACCCCAAAGTCCGGTGAAAGATATTTTTAAAAGACAATATGCATCACATAAAATACATAAAGGTTTAAGGTTGTAAAGTGAAGAGACGTGGAAAAGTTCATGGGATATAAATGCTATTGCAGGGCACCGTAATCAAACTGTCACAGTGATAAAAGCTCAAAAGATGAAGCAATCTTATGTATCAGGAATCATAACCACGACTTGATAAACTCGAATCTAAATCCCTTCAAGTGAAATCCAACAAGGAGAAAAAGAGATGCTCAATGTTCCTTCATTATATAAATCATATATAAGTCCGTGTTCAAAGTCTGTCTGAAGTGAACAAGATGAACAGTTTTCTCAACATTATCAGCAGTTTCTGCGGCAACAGCGCTGATACAGTGCAAGAGCTGCAGGGGTAGGAGCGCCTGAGCCCGGTCAGGGCCCTGCAGGGAGCATGTCGGCCTTTACCTGCAGCTCCATCAGGAGGGGCGATTTTCATGGGGTACGGGGGAACATGGGCTGTGTCCGGCCCGCCATCTTTGCACGGACAAGTAAACGGGATGCGCTCCTGGTTGCAGGCGAACTTGATGAACTTGCAGAGCTCTTCCTGAGTGAACATCTCCAGGGCGGTCCAGAAGAACTCGATGTGCTGGTCGGTCTCCATCAGACCGACTTGGTACATGGTGTGAGCCTAAACAAAACAGAAGAATGGGATGATTTACTAAGGTAAAAGTTGAGAAACACAATACAGCAAGGATAGAAGGAAATCATTAAACCACCGCTTTCATAGACTTTAAAGTTGGAAAATGCTCACACGGTTGAAAAGATATCAGTGTTTTCTATCATATATATATATATATATATGCACCACCTTGAGGAACTCCAGGTTAATGTAAGGCAAGCCACATGTGCGCAGTTCAATCTCCAGAGGGCTGAGCATGGTAAGCAGCTGCATAGGAATGATGGATCCCAGTCCTGCCTGCACTGCTGTCATACATTCCACATTCTCCAGCTCCCTCAGGCGGAGGCTCCTCACCGCCCGGGCGTACACATCCTTGTTCTCCCAGCTTAACGGGGCAAACAGAACGAGAACTCGCTCAAATGTGCTGCGGCTGTGACTTTAAGCTACGGCAGAACCTCCAGGAGCTGCTCTGTACCTGACAGTGAGGCTGCGTCCTCCCTGACAAAGCTCCACCTCTTCACCCGTCATCGTGAAGTAAGTAAAAGTGCAGCAGGGCCGGCTGGGCGACTCCGGGCTTTCTCCTGAGTGGTGCTGCGAGGAGATCTCAGCGCACAGGGCCTCCAGCTCGCTCTCATCGGTCACCTGAAGAGAGGAAGAAAAAAAGAAAACGGCAATCAAAATCCCCGCAAGCATGAACTCTGGCTGGATTGGGTGTGATTGAAAACGCTCCTACTGCGCTCCTCACATTTGCAAATTTCTTGACATAGTTGTAGGTGAGCACATCGGCTTCCTGCAAGTCCTGCTCCGGGTCGAGAGGCTCGCCAACGAGGCCTTTCCAAAACGATCCCAGCAGGTCCAAAGGAAGGGGGACGTCTGCACGGATGGCTATGCCGAGGAGCTGACCGAAAAAGTGCAACAACTGCTCTTCTGCATAGCTGATAGGGCACGGAGTCAGGATGTACTTCCCCTGGAGATAAAAGCCAAACAAAGAAAGATTAGGAATATTTACACAATGACAACATCATTCTCATGATATTCTTTACAATAAGTTTTACATAAAACTGAGACAATGATGATACTAGATCAACAGATGCGGTGCCCTGTATTCATGCCCTTTAACTTTCACACATTGTGTCCCGTTGCAGCTGCAAATTTCAGTCCATTTTATTGGAAATTTATGTGACTGACACAAAGTGGCCTCAAAAGACTCGACCTCATGAGTCAACAGAACCGCTTTCCAAAGCGCTTTCTTTTAAATTGCCTCTACCATCTTTCCACATCCGGAAAAAGACACTTTTACCCATTTTGATTCCTCTTCCCAATCACACACTGCTCTGCATTTCTCTATAGTGTAAGGTCTCAATAAAACACAAATTGTGGTTGTAACAGGTCAAAAGGGGTTTAAAAACATTCACAAAGTACCGTAAATCCTGACTGAATAGAGCTACGGTAATGCATTGATGGGAAGATGAATGTAATGTGGAAATGAAATGATACCTTGTTCCGGTTGGCTGCAGCACTGGGACAGGGAAGCAGCAGGGAAAGTGCTGAGCTCTGTAACTCCTTACACACTTGCCACAGAAAATGCCTGAAGGAGCCGCCTGGATAGACACAGTCATCACAATAGCAGTTAGGTATTTAAAAAAAAAAAACATAACAGCGATAAATAAAATAGATGAAAGTAAAGTGGGGCATGAAAAAAAAAAGGGGGGCATGATGAGGGAAGCACTAACTTGTCCCATGAACTTCCTCTCCAGTGAAGCGGATGTTGAAGGCGTATGTTGGGTCTCCTCCGCTGGCCAGCTTCACACAGAGCTGAGACGATGGCACACAGGAGAGCTGGCGTGCTGCCTGGCAGAAGTAGGTGTTTTCTGATGATCTAATTTCACCTGTAGGGGGCGGGGGAGACAAGTGTTACAATATCCAGAAGGTTAAAACACAATGTCCTGTGACGAAAAGTGGAGGAAAGTCTACCTCCAACAATCTCTAGAGGGTCCAGTGTAATCTCTGGAGCAGCATGGTCAGCTGTACGTTGTACTGTAGCATTTAATACTCGGTTCATGACGGTGACCTTGGTGTCGTAGAAGACTAGGCCTATCAGAAGCAGATGGAGGTACAAAGATTACATTTTTCAAGCACTAAAATAAAAGTTTCAGCTTGCAATAATTTCTAACCTGTTTCAGCCTCAACTTGAAACAGTTTATTTGCATGAAGCCTGTATGTCATTATTTGCTTAGCATGCTTCAAATATTAAAACCACAGCATCTCGTACAAATGCTTTTATTCCTGCTAGATTCGTTTCTGAGTTGATGCTCACCTTTTGCTTCACACAACAGCGCCGCAATGCTGTTCTGATATGTGTGCGTCTGTCTCAGCTCCACTAGTGGCAGAAAGAAACTCTCCAGGGTGTTGTTGAGGGACTGCAGCAAAGCAAAGCGCAGGCGCAAGCTCTCCACAGGCACATCTGTAAACACCGAATCACAAAGACAAAGCTGAGTGATGAAACACAAGTGTGAGGCAGATAGGAATGTTTTAGAAATTATTATATATGCTCATCGATCAGAAGTCAGAATTTGAGAAAACTGGCGCAAATTTTGCATCAAGCGCTTCAAAACTAGGAACTCCAACAATTTTCTAAAATCTAAAAGTACGTTAACAAAAACATTAACTTTCATGCCTTTTTAAGTAAAAGAAAGTTAAAGTTGAAAAAAGGCAGAAAAGTTAATAAGAGGATGGAACCAGATAATTTAAAACTATTTTCCATGGGATTCAAAACTGCTAACTCTATCAAAGAACCCGCAGCGTCTGCAGAAGCTCAGAATGAAAAAAAAAAAAAAAAGGCAAGTAAGCGACTTACTGAGCAAACAGGCCACACGGGGATCTGCAGCATCACTGGGATCTAGGTAGACCTCGTGGGGGTGCAGTCTGGCTGGAGTGATAGCCAGGTGACGACACAACCGGTTGATATATTGCACCAACGCCACATCCATTTCCAAGCTCCACTTTCTACAGGCCTTCTGGGCGTGGCGAGTGTCTATACATGTGCACCTTCAATATAAAGTCAGGTTTAGCATTACGTAAAAAAACAGACACATGTTTTTACAACACGAGACTTTAAGACAGTTATACAAACTTTAGCAGTATGTGAATCTCCTAATTCTTATTCTGGTCAGTGCATCTCTAACTGGGACAGATGTACTGCTATAATGGGATCTGATGAAATGTGGAGCTGAAAACAAGCAACAGCTGTATTACCTTTTTTTTTTTTAAGATTCTGATCATTCAAGATGCTTTTCTAACCCATGGAAAGTTAGTTTGCAAAGATAAAACGTTGTTGAAGACCAAATGGCAAAACTGACAGCTACTTTTTGAAGAACATCTTTCCTGCTGTGATGGTAATTGCAGCATTTCGAGTGGACGAGATGATTCTTTAAGTCTCACCTTTCAAAATGAAGGTCGTAACCACAAGCCAAAATGGCTCGCCACACACTGCGGATGTCTTGCTTTGCCCGATCGACTGTAAATTTATGGAAGCCTTCCAGTGTCAGGAACTTTTCCTCTGGCACTAAACGAAACGATAGAAGAGCTCATAAACTATTGTGTCAAACCAGACTTACTTTTACTTTAAAATAATTTAACCCCGTCCCACATTTTTACAATCTAATGAAAAGAGAAAAAACATTCAGCTGAGTCAGATATTATGGTTTTGGAAGTTGTAAACAATGTTTAGAAAACAGAATGGATTTAGATGAAAGTCTAAATCTAATGTGTTGAATGTATTTATGTGTAGTCACAACAGATGTGATTTTTTTGCCAACCTTCAGTTTTTTTAGAGGGGGATTTTTCTACGTCCTTCTCATCTGGCCTCGATTTCTCAGGAGATTTTGGCTTTAGGACAGTTTTCTTCTCACTCAGCGCAGTTCTGGAAATAAGTAAAAAATATTTAGTTTGATGTCAATTTTTTTTTTTTTTTACACACGTGTCATATGAGGTTTTGCAAGAAAATGACTCACCTAACACTGTTGAGGACTGATTTCTCCTTGGTCAGAGGCTTTGTGATGGGTCTCTTGGTGCTCACAACCTTACCCTGATGTTGTTCTTTTCCTGCTTTGTTGTACTTGTTCTTATTCGGCTTGGGCGTTCCATACTTTCGTAAAATCTGAATGAATAATAAAAAAAATAAATAAATCTAATATTATTTTTGACTTTTCACAGTACTCTGCTTGTGAAGAAAAGAAGCAATTTTAAGATCTGAAGTATTATGACAGCCAAATACGAAGTTGGATGGTTGAAGGTATGACAGAGAACCGTAAAGTTTCTCCTTGAGTACCTGAGTGAGTTGGTCTTCAAGCACTTTTTTAGGAGGTCGAACGTTGGTAAAGAAAGTGTGCAGCAGGTTCCCTGGAGTCTGAGAGTTAATCTGCTCTTTGCTGAGGAAAATATCAGACACCTTAACGGGCTTGGCCGGTGTGAGGCTCAACATTTGCTCAGAGTGCACACAGCTTTTAAAAATATCGGTCAGGACGTCTCTCGCTCCAGGTACGAGTTTTTCACCTGGGAAAAGGGAGGTAGATTAGATTTGACAGAAACAATGTTAATCTATAAAAGCGGTAAAACTTTAATGTTTAACACTAACCTTTGATCGACTTATCCAGAAAGTAGTCTTCTAGAGCAGAGCTTCCCTGTGTGTCAAACAGGCTTTGGTTAACACTGGAAACGGTCAGGATCTCCTCGTTGGTTAACTCCATCAGCTCCTCTTCACCTTCCAGGCTGGACAAACCAATCAGGTCACCGCTGTTGAACAGACTGGCACGGATCTTTTCCACCTTCGCTCGAGAGCGGACCTATATTTAACCAAACGCAAATTTAGTTTTATTTCATTTCTAGAAACTAAATTTGAAAACGTTTAAGGCAGCACGCTAAAACTCCAATCCTAAAGGGCCGGTGCACTCCAACTTGTAGATGACTTCCTCAGCACACCTTGCTCCAATATTACAGTGTAATATATGTACTCTGTAGCAGTAAACCTGCTTACAGAGGCATCCATGTGTGCAGGACAAAGAACACATCTAAACGTTGCAGGACTCTGGCCCTCAAGGAATGAAGTTTTAGATCACTGATTCAAACGGTGTGAATGTTTTTGCAACAGAATCACCTCACCTCAATGACAGCATAGCCCTTGATAGGCCTGGCTGTAGCTGTTGTGCTCTCAAAGGAAGTGACTGTCTGCATAGAGGCTCCATCCGAGGCAGACGGTGTTTCTGTGTTGTCCAGAGGCTCCCCCAAACTGCCGAGACTCCCCAGGCTTCCCGTGCTGCACAGTGAAGTGTCTAGACTTTCCTGACTGGAGACAGTCTGAGAGTCCTGAGGAGCCTGCTGGGGGTATGTCACTGCCGAAGCAGCGGCTGCGGGCGTGAGCGGGGGTACAGCTGAAGGCTCCTGATCAACAGAAAGTTCACTGACTGTGCGAGAGACCCCCTGAGAGGAGCTGCAAATGGAGGTCTGGCTGGTGGAAGCCGAAGCGCTCACACTTAAAGCTGGAGTGACACTGCTGGAGCTGTCGGGACTCTCAGGACCTCCATTGGTAGAAAAAGGTCGGTCAGGTTCTGGAGCAGCTTTGCTGTCGTGTGGGCTTGAAACCCCTGCTCCTGATTTCTTCTTGGGATCCTCTTCCTGCACGGGAATGAAGACTTCATCTTTGAACAGACCTCCGTGTGCGTTGCACGCCCTGCGGATGGCGTTTCGAACAACCGCCTCCTCGAGGTGTGTGGGGATACCTGAGAGCACCAGCAGGCGGCTATGAGACGTGGGACCAACTAGAGCTTGGCAAGCGTCCGTCACGGCGTCGCTGGTTACGCTTAAGCCCTGCGGGTCCTTATTGGCGAGATGTCTCAGAATCATCAGGAGGGTGAGGCAGCGGTGGAACCACAGCATGTCCTCGGGTTTGCTGCCCGCCATGTTCAGGAGGGCGCTGTCGCTTTCTGACAGCCTCGCACCTCCGCTTGTTCTCTTTCCGGAGGCGGCTGCTGCCACAGCAGCTGCTGCCCTCTCACGCTTCATCTTCACCTTCTTACGCTTCGAAAGCAAACTGGGGCTTTGTGGCGTCTGGCCCGGGGACGACGAAGACGACGAGGAAGAGTCGCTGAGGTTCGGTGCGCTGGTGGAGGAGAGGGGTCCCACCGAAGAGCTGCCGACATTGAGAGGAAGCGTCACCTCCGCCACAGCCAAACACACTTCCAATAGGGCATGGAAGTAGGTGGAGAACCGGCTCTGCTCTGCCCCCAGCGCCAACGCTATGCCCCCAGATGACGATCCTCCTCCGGCGCATCCAGCCGCCCATCCCTGAGTTTCCCTGTCGTAAAGTTTTCGGAGCTCTGTCTGCAGGGCCATTAGGACTGCCAGGCAGGGGTTCAGCAGCAGAGCAATGGAGCTGGAAAGGCCAGCGGGGCTCTTGCGCTGCTCCAAGTGGTGGATCTTCCGCAAAAGTTCAGCCAACAGGTGAAAGACGAGCTCCTTGATGGAGGGAGCCAGATCAGTAGTCCAAAGCAATCCGCCTATAAACAAGACAGAAATGTTAGAAACTGCGATCTTAGGACATTTGTGTTTGAGGAGTTTATAAAGTTTAGCAACTTTGAATCAATATTTGATCTGGAAAATTTTAATGCATATGTTTAAATGCATATGTTTAAAGGCGAAGTATTATGCATTTTTTAATGTCACAATCACTTAACTATGTTACTCTCAGTAGTTATAGAAATGCTGTTTATATCAAACATGACTTGAACGAAATTTGATTTGGCAAGCCTTGAAATCGGGCCTCTGTCTCTTTAAGATGCTCCTGCTCTTACCGACACTCCACCTTTAGGAAGTCATCACGACAACATTTCTCCATTAAACTTTGACAATGCTACTGAGGAGTAGCTCATATGATTAGCTTAGCAGATGTGCAGTTCCACCAGGTGGTTGCCGATTGCTGCTGGCTAGTCTGAAGGAGCCGAGTGGGGTAGGCGCAGGAGAGGGCTACTCTGTGAGGCAGAATCTTGGCTTAGAGACTGCAGATCCAAGGAGGAGCTCCATGAAAAATGCAGCATTTGGTGAGAGCAAGCGTTTAGGTACCCTGAATAGTTGCCACGGGAGATTAAAGGATTTCTCAAACATACGTAAAAGAATCGAAACAACACTCCAGGTATGTTTTAGATAAGAGAATAACATTAGAACGTAAATCTCAAAAAAGCAGGTTTTACATAATACTGCCCCTTTAACAAGAAAGAAAAAAAAGCTACTTACCAAATTAATACTTTAAACACATAAAGTATATAATGTCACCAATGACAGAAGAAAGCATGTACTACCTTGATCAATGTGTAGCTTTTATTTTGGTGAAATAAAGGAAACCTACCGAGCAGTTCTACCACCTGCAGCAGCACCGATGAGGGCACAGTGTCCAACTCATCCTCGGATCGCTCGCTGCTCTCCCCCAGCTTCCACGTCAACAGCTGCTCTGCAAACGCCATCGCCAGAGGAAACTCTAGTGGTAAGGAGTGGAGCACCAGCACAGCACCAGGAGGGGGTGACACTCCTACAACCAAAACAAGGGCGAACTCGCTTAGAAGCGCTTCTTTTTATTCTTTAAGAATTTCTTCCTCGTAATGAAAACACTCACCCAGCTTGATGTGCACTTTGTCAGTGGGAATGATAACAGAGGGGTACTGGTTTGTGGTGGGAGGGGGCGTAAGGCCTGTGTTGGTAGGAGAGGCATCTAGAGGATAACACACTGCCTCCATCAGATTCAGCTGGCCATTTCTTCGCACTTTGTGGCCCAGGCCATAAACCATGACTCGAGCCCAGGGGGCCTTGTACAAGCTTGAGCTAAAAGGTTTTGACAAGATAAGAAATAAGTTCAAAAACATAAAAAGTGAAGCCAAGGAAGCTCAGTTGTGTGTTTGATGTGGCTCACTCTTTGCGGCAGCCCAGTTGACTTTCTTTGCAGGAGACGATCACAAACGCCGCTCCGGGAAAACTAACATCCATACTAACTTTTGACTCCAGAACAGGAAACTCCTCAGATGTAAACTGCTCAGGTGCATTCTGAAAAATATACAACGAGATAGTTTGTGTGCAGTAATGAGAAGATAACCAGAAGCATGTAGTTCACTACAAAAACATTCATACTCCTTGGTCTTTTTCACATTTCTTCACTTTACTGTCACCAATTTGTCACAAGCCTTTAGGGAACAGAAACATGTGGATCAAAAAGACCAAATTGGACTATTAGTCTTCAAGCTAAATGTACATTATTAGGTTTGTGGTTATAATGTGAGAAAACATGGAAAGTTGAAGATGAGTTAATAATTTCACCAGCTGTAGAGCTGACCTGCAGGAAACAGCAAATCTGTTTTGTGAGTTCCAGCAAACTTTCTTCTCCTTGATGCAAGGCACGAGTGATGGCCACGGTCAACCACTCCCGGATGGGCTGAGCATTGCCCTGATAAAACAGGTCTGTGGGAGAGCAACTTTGACCTTCGAGGTTGTGAAGCACCGACTGAGCCAAGAGAATGGAGCTGGAGCTGATGGTGCCATCTGCAGGAAGAGAGAATTTAGCATAGCTTAGAAAATTCCCATGACAAACAAAGAAATACGGTTCTTTAAAATGTATTCTTCCACTCACCAGGGAGAGGTGGAGCCAGCAGCTGATTAGACAGAAGCTGCAAGTGTTCCAGAGTTATGTCACGGATCGCAGGGATGTGGAAGAGACGAGTGAAAGTGTGGGGATTCTTGGGGGCGAAGATGTTGAGCAGAGCCATGCGACAGTATAACCGAGCGAGCGCGCTTTCGCATCGAAGGAGTTCCCTAAAGAAAAGCGGCGACACCGATATTAAACCCAGATCTTTGATTCAGATGCATCACACTTATTCCCTTTGCATTTATGTTACCTATGAATCTGAATGTTACTGCTGTCCAAAGACACCAGGCCGTTAGCCGCAGTGCGTCGAGAACCTGCTGGCGGACGTTCGAGCATCTCAATGGGGTACCAGTATCTGACGAGCACACCTTCGCTGCGGAGGTACGTCTCCACCTGCACCAGTTCATTCACCTGAACAAATGCATGAAACGCTTTAGTTTACAAATAAATCTGTTGTGAGGCCAAAACAAAAAAGCCCACCACAAATGATTAGACTTACGGAGTCCACATCCAGCACAACCCCGTGCAAACCGAACGTTTTCAACATTCCACGGATAGCGAACTTGGGCAGCGCTGTTCCTCCGGTTGTGCTGTTGGTGTTATTGCTGTCAGGACAGCGGATGACCACAGTCAACCCTTTGTGGATAAAGTATGTCATGTTAGTCACATAACATTACAATCATTTACCAAATGTGAGTGACAGTAAATGCTTCAATACATCTCAAAACAAGCGATGAAGTACTACGAGGATGTTTAGTCCCACTGTGTGATGCTAAAAAAATCTTTAAATACGTAATGCGGTACCTTTTCGGACTTTGTCAATAGTGAACTTGTTGGCCTCATCTTTGATGTCCTCAATAGTAGGAAGGTAGAGGTCACGAGGAATACCACCATTCTCCTCATACAGGAACTCCACTGTCTGTCTTGCGATGTCAACCATGCCTGTTTCCAGGGAAACGCACAGAAATATTGTCAATTACACAAACAATGTCTAAGGTAGGAGAGAGTAGATATTCAACAAGAACTGCTAAGAATTGCTCTCATTTTGTGTGTACTTCCTGTCTGCCCTCCTTTTCTCAGGTGGAAAAAGTGGTGTTGTGTTTTTGTGTATTTGTGTTATTGAAGCAGAAAAACATACTTTCATTAAACATTATATATTCATATACGTAAAATTAGTTAAACACAATACTGTTTGCATTTAGTTTGACTTGAAAGAATCTGCTCCGTTTAATGTACCTAAACTAATAACCTTATGGGATTTAAGACAGTGATTTACCGTCAAATTCTCAATTTCTCCATTTCTGTTCAGTAAAATATATATGTATATTTAAAATACTGCATTCAGTGATTTAAGTCATAAGTGTCAATTAAGTTAAATCTCTTTATCTTCTTTACCCAGCTGAAGGGCTCCCTTGATTTGATCCAAGCCCGATTTCCTCTCAGCCTCGTTACGGAACCGCCTACGAATAGTAGGGAATACTTTCGTCTCCCAAGCCTTCACCAGAAGAGCATAGTGATCCTCCTAAAGTCAAACCCAAATCAATTTTAATACAAAAAAGAAGAAACAAAGGAGAAAAACGCAGCATAAAGGTGCTGAGGACTAATCTCACTCTGGGAACATCGTCATCATCCTCGTCATCACTCTCATCATCAGCAATAGGTGGGGGATGTGAGTCAGGCCCAGAGGTGAACAGGTTTTCATAGCTCAGCTCCACCTTGTAATGGCACGACAGATCACTGTTGTACTCTGTAAAAACAGAAAAAGTCAAAAGAGAAAACTTGATTATTAGCAGGAGCAACGTGTAAACAAAAATGGAAGTCTGTGCGTTTTCGATAAAACACTGAAACGATCGCAAGAGACATACGCTGCTGAGGAACTGCAACGGCTGCAATCCGACAGGGGGGGCCATGAGAGCCAGAGTCGGAAGTGACACTTGCACCTGCATCGTTATCACTGTCTGAGGCCATGGCAAAGGGAAGCGCTTCAAAATTTGCACTTATTTCCTCTGCTAGGTCTACACATAAGTCAGCTGCATTCCGGTGTGCTTGGCCTTCTGCGTATGCAAAAGGCCGGCTTCCAAAGTTGGCACGGATCTTTGCATTCTGCAAAAAAATGGAGAGAAACAAAAATGTATACTGCATAAGATCAAACTAGAGAAGCAGCTTTTAATTTAATCTTAGCATAGATTTACCTTCTTCTGAATGTGGACAAGAGGCCACATTCCACCTGCTACATCTTCAAGACTAGGATTTAGCCGCTGTCCACAGTAAGTAAAGTAGACTCTTCCTTTAGGGGCCTGGCCAGGAGGGGGCGGTGTGCCCTCTGAGCGCTCCCAGCCAATTCCTGCCACATCGCCTGTATTTACCCAAATTAAAGATCATCATTGACATTACAGCCAAATCAAAACCACACATTGGGAATGTTTTAACATTTTGCTTGTAAAAAAATACTTTTGGAAAAGCAATGTATGCAACTTTATGTCAACAAAACAGAGACTTTAATTCAAACATTATGGGAAACATATTTATTCTCCTATCTTACCAGGAAGTAGGACCACATCAAGTCTGACACTTTTCCACTGTAGCAGACTGGAGCCATTGTAATGCACCGCCCTACCATTACTGACGCATTGCACGCAGACAGGAGATGGACACACAGGCAAAAACGTTAGTCAGCAATCAAGTCCTACAGAACACTATGTGATAAAAAAAAGAAAGTAATATATAGCTGCACTTACTTGTGAAACAGACATGTGCCAACAGGGTTGGTCCATGCTCCGTCTCTCTTCTCTGCCTCTGTAGCAAAACCAAAGGACACTATTGGCCCACTGTCCTCCTCAGAGTCTCCATAGGAGACAACTTCTATCTCCCAGTAAAAGGATGGTGCCTACAGCAACAGAAAGAGGAAAAAACAACACTGTTGACATCCTTAACTTGCATTGTAATAAGTAATTTTATCAATACTTCTGTCATGGCAAAAATAATTGCAAGACAATCTGACTTTACTAAGACCTTCATACCTGAACTGGTACAGGAGAGGTGGCATAGATAAAAGTTCCTCGGGGCAGACCACCTCCGGCGCTCGGATCAGCCAGGAAGGTGACAGAGGTCAGCCGGGAGGAGAACAAGCAAGCACGGACTGGAGGAAACACTCTGGATGGACACCAAGTGATCTCCTTGGGCTAGCATAACGAGCAGATTAAAGAAGAAAGGAGCAAAATTATTTAGGCAGTCAAAAGTAGAGCTACTAAATCACAAATATAATCCAAACATACGTAACACATGAACATCATTCACTGTGTTCCTTTTTTACCTCAACAAAAAGGAAAAAAATTAAATGAATTAAAGTTGTAATAAAACTTTCTTTGACAATAATACAAGATTTTTTTTTCTCCTGCAGTCATATATATTGTCGACTATCCAAAAACAACAACAGAGACATGTTACACGAGAGGTGACATCTTTTATGTGTTAAATGCTCTTACTTGTGGAAAAAAAAAAAAAAAAAAAGAAGAAGGAGGAAATTACTGCCAACTACCTGCCGTCTGTCTGTCTGCAGTGGTGGAGGCGGTGGCCGAGCACAGTCCCGGTACAGCATTCTTACTCTCTCACACTGAGCCTCAACCATACCAAGACGCTCTCCTGCACGAGATGAAAAGAGGCCACCTGTCAGACAAATACAGACCAGTGGTGAGAAGCTTTCTTTAACATGCTCCTCGTATGCTCACCAGGGCTGCACTCCTGGGCAACTAGGTTTAGAACCTCCACAGCAGCTGGACACTGCTGAATGAACTCCTCACAGAAGGAGCTATCCTCCAAGAGCTGTGCCATCACCAGACATGCCCTAGGAAAAAAAATAAACTTGTTTAACAGTCATATTTTATATGAAAATTTAAGTCTACAAGTAGATACATTTTCCTCCATTTAGGATGCTCAGAAAAGGAATCTGGCTGCAGATACTGCGTCTATCATTCTGCTGTAAATAGGAAACGCTTAGGCAAAATACCATCAAGTAAGTTTCTTTTTTTTCTTATATTTGTTCAAAACTGGAGGTGAAAGGGAAAGGAAATTAAAAGGGTTTCTTTTAATTCAAGGCAATTTATACAAAACCAAAAAAAAAAAAAAAAACCAACAGGATAAACACAAAATTAAATGCAATAGGGTTTATATAAATATTTATAATCCAGATGCTCAAATAGGTAGAATTGTTTTTTTTACAAATTTTTTTTGTGTAAATAGTTGGTATCACTTTCTATGAAAAGTCATTTAATTGTTACATCAATAATAGCTTTCATTAATATACATTTTTTATTGCACAAAAAGCAATAAAAAAGAGTTCTTAAGTGAAGTCAGAGGCATTAAGACCTCAATTACTCAATCACCATTAAAGGTTAAGACTTCAATCTAAACAAAATAGGGTTTCCCAATTTCCTTATGATAGTAGGAGCACTTACTTTAGTTCAAATGAAATTGATGTGTTTATTACTCTCCACTAAATAGATGTTGGGAAGATGTTATTGCATTTGCAAATTAAATATTTACACAAAAAATATGAAATATTAATATGCAAATATTTCAAAATACCATGTACTCGAGAACCAATCTCACAGTGCAAACTTTAAAGGTGAAATACATGAAATTCAATTAAAAAAAAAGAACTTTCTGTCCAATATTTATTTTTTTTATGTCTATAATAAACTTTGCAGATTTTGAAAAGAATTCATATGTTTCCAAATTCTTACAGAGCTCTTTCTGCCTGTTAGCAGAGCTCCATCAGTCACAATTCCCAAAACAAGTCAAATATATCCATCATAGCGCTCCCTAACCTAGTTCTGATTTCAGCCAGCAAGCGCACTGCAGCCATTACTGGGCTGGACCCATCTCCAGTAGCTGGTAGGGACGTATGAATGGAGAGACTGCCCTCCTGTGGCAGAAGCATAGACTGCACAGCTTGAACCACCTTTTCTGTAATTGAGAGCTTATAGATGGGAAGAGCCTAGTAGAGATCAGAAAAGGGAGAAAAAAGGATAAGAGATTTTCTTTCATTTTCTTATTTTCCATAGTAATAAGAACTGTAATGTGACTGGAATTCTCACCTCAGATCTGGGAGTGCAGAGGCGTGATATTGGTACTGTAAGGACGTCTGAGGCTTTGCAAGCTCTTCTGTACTCACAGGATGGAAATTTGACAGTAGCAATGCCCTCCTGCTCATTTATGGACATTACTATGCCCACACTACCCAGAACTCCTTTACCTACCACCTGTGAACCAGATGAATGACTGTAACAATGCCGACAATCATATTTGACTATTAACGGCGATATATAATAAGAAGCAGAACAGCACAAGATATATATAATGAAGAAAAATACTTGTCTTGTTTTACTGACCTGGACTTCAGAACCAATCTTAATCGTCTCCTTGAAGCCCCCAAGTGCGCAAAGAGCAGCAACAGCTTGTCTGCCGATGGCCTGCAGTTTGGCTAGTTTTCTGCCACTGCTGCTACCATTTTCCAAGATGCTCTCAGCATACTTTCCCAGCTGAGGAATAAACATCAGAGCTCTGGAAAGCACCTAAAAAAACAGGGAAAACATTATTTAGAAATAAAAAAGCTTTAAACTGCAATAATATGTAAAGGTCTAGCATTATGTTAGCAGTTGCTGCAAAGAACAGTGTTCAGCACCGCTATGAAGCATAGAAACTGTGAAATAGAAAAGAATGATTATGTCTTACTTTTTCGACGGTGCTTGTCCAGATCTGTGCAGTGTTGGATTCTGGAGCGGTGAGCAGACTGTGCAGCAGGGCAATAACCTCAGCAGCCATACTGTTTGCAACGTGACCGCTGATGAATGGCCGGACTGGGTCGGACCTGTCGTGCGGCGATTGTATATAGAAATGTTAAACCGCGGACAAAATCTCCAACCGTCACAAATTCGATATGAATAATATTTCCTGCTTTTGTACATTGTAAAAGCTGAGCTCTTTTGAACATCTCATCACCATATCAAACAAGTAGCACCTGGCCAATTCAGCGTTCCTGTCCCTACAAACGGCGGTCTGTGCCGTTTTCTTTTTGTCGCCAGCTGTAATGCCCCCTGCCGCCTCCTGAGCCATCGTCTCCACAGGTGGACCGACGCTCACTATCAGTCCAGACTGAGCCCACTTGTTGGCCTTCCTCAGGGCAGCCGATGCCTCTTCAGTGATCACCTCACAGCTTCCACTCTACGGCAACAAAAATTGTACGAATACAAAGTTTAGCAAGCAACTAGAAAACTTGCTTTGATAGAAGGCATGGACATGTTTTAGGTATATACAGTACTTTGCATAAGTTTTCATACGCCTTGAACACATTTTGTCATATTACAATCAAAAACTTCAATGTAGTTTAATGGGAGTTTGTGAGGGAGCAAAACAATGAAACATTACTGGAAAGTAGAAGGAAAATTATGCATAGTTTTTACCTTTTTACAGCAAACAAAACTATTAAAAGTGTGGCTTACATTTGTATTCAGCCCTCTTCACTCTAAAACCTCTTAATAAAATCCAGTGCAAGCCTCTCATTAGTAAATAAGCACCACCTGTTTGTAATATACTCTCTTTATGTGTCCATCTGTCCTGTTAAGGCCCAAAATGTTTGCTAGAGAACATTAGTGAGCAAATAGCATCATAAGGACCAAGGAATATAGCAAATTGGTCAAAGATAAAGTGTGTGTTAAGGGAGGCAGGGTTAAAAGCAGGCTTATGCTATAAATTAATATCCCAACCTTTCAACAACACATGAAACAACTTTTAAACATCTAAAAATGGAAAAGCATGGCACAATGGTGATCCCACCAAGACACTGCTTTCCATCTAAATCGACAAGCCAGACAGGAAAATGGAGCATTAAACAATAAAAAATTCCAGTCTTCCTTTTTCAATAATAACGCAGCACATCACCTTTAAAACACCATCCCCATGGAAACACCATGGAATGGTGGTGGCAGTGTGGTGATGCCTCTCTTCATCATGAAAGCTTGTCCAAGTTGAAGGGATGCATTTATGTTTGTGGTTATAAAATGGCGACGTGAAAACTTATACTTTAGGAAGGAATGTTTTTTTTTTTTTTATGGTTACAGCAACTTATTTTATTTTACACAAATATAAACTCTTGCCTTTGTCATGTCTCTGTCCATCTTTACCACCTTTTCCATGTTTGCCCCAGTGCCCAGTCGAAAAGGTCGCCCCTCAGAACTGCTGCAGTTTGGAGCGAGTGGAAAAATATTCAAGTCAGAAAAAACTGATATTAATTTTGCCAACAAAAATCGAAATTGGTCGACGACAAGAAATAGTACCTAAGAAGAGGCTGTAAAACCTCATGGGATGACTGATCCTCTCTTTTGTGGATAAAAATTGACAGCTTGCCATCGACTGCTTCTGCTTCTTCCCCGATATCCTCCGTCTTGAGAGCTCCTTTGGAGCTGGCCCGGGATAGACTGGTGTCTGGCTCGGAGGAGCTGGGAGAAAGAAGGGTCTGACACCCTTAAATGTGAAAGGAAAAAGCAACATCATAATTACTTTTAAATCGTTTTAAGAAAAGGGAGGAGCACATATAGTAAGTCCTTCGTGGCCGGAGACACAAACCTGGCACTACATAGTCTGCCAGCTTAGCCAGAAGCAAAGCAGCAATACGTGATGCTGGGTCACTGGCATCCTGCTGCTCAGCGTCTAGGGGGTTTATTGAGAAACTCCATGAGGGCAAAGCCACGTTTCCACAGTCCTCAACACTCATGAGAGGCAGTGCAGCTCGGCATAGCTGCAAGATGATAAGAACTAGCTTTGGAGAGGGTCTCTGGTCAAGCAGTAAGGACAAGAGCTTAGAAACACAGGCAGGTTGGCTCAGGATGGCTTTCCCTATGTGGCTCCTGGGATGAAAAACAAAGGGATGTATAAGTATACAGAAGGAATATATAATAACATAGATATGCATGGAGTGCTTTTGCTCTACCTGGAAAGATCATTGAGCAGACTGAGTACATCCTGCAGAGCGTCATTGCCAGCCGCCTGATTTCCACAGCACTCTGTTGCTCTGGCTAGGTGATTGGTCAGCAGGCTGGAAACCTGCCTTGCCAGGCCAGAATGAACTGCATCTGTTGAACCGCCTGTAAAAGAGAAAACCAAGTAAGGTGACCTATAATAAACAACATACCACAATAACAAAATATACTTTACTTGAGAGCAGACCACAAACCTTCCACTTTCTCCCATTCGATGCACCGGTTGGCCAGTACCTGAAATGCAGCCCAAGCCATTGTGGCCACCTTCTGCTTTTTGGTCTGCTTCTCATTTGAGCTGCATTCTCTCTGACCACTCAGACTGCAAAGTCTATCCATGAGCTGGACAAGTCCACTTCGAACAAGGCACTGCTCCTCACTCCTACAGCGACAGATCAGATAAGTTAATCTGACTCGTTGTACCGAGTGAAGGATCGGTCTGGCAAAACGTCAAAGTTGATTGACTTGCCTGGTGTAGGGGATTGTGCAAAGCAAGCCAATACTGTTGGCACAAGCAATAGGGTAGCGAGCACATAGTGACACTACAGAGGTCATGGTCTCTCCGAAAGCTTCCTGGACCTGCTCAACCATTCCACCACAGGTCAGCTCCTCGATCCTGAACAAACAGATATGTAGAGAAAAACATGTTTTTGTGCACACTCTTCTTAGAAAACAACATTAAGGTTTTCGTGGCATCTTTTCTTACCTTGGGCCACCTTGTAGCACCATAGTAACAGGTCCCACCAGATGTGTTACCCCACCTACTCTGACAGCAGCAGTTAGCAGTTCTCTCATATGAACGAGTGCCTGCTTCCGCGTGCTGCCTCGTCTCCAGCGTGTCTGCGCAGCCGACAGGAAGCTGCTGCTCGACACCTACACAACCGGACAGAGCAAACCAGAATTCACTACATGAATTTCTCACTTGGAGGGGGTAACAAATATTTCCAACAAAAAGGCAGGCGATAATAATGTCTCCAAAACTTACAGCCTGATCAGGTGTGGTTCCAATGAAAGCAAATAGCTGTCCCAGCAGCACACTGTATGTTGGCTTGTCTCTGCCGTCCTCAATGGCCAGAGACTGCAGCAGGGTGAATGAGCTGCTGCGATGACTGGTTGGGTGGTGTCGCCTTCTAAAAATAAGTAGAGTAAAACATTCAACTTGAAGTCCTAGTGGTACTTTATGTCTAATCCAATTACCAATAAACTAGATACCTTTGTGGAGCATGTGTAAACTCTAAATCTTGGTTGGCAATCATCTCCAGGTCAGAGGGTGCAGACATGCTGCGTAAGAAGACTGGCTGCTTGACCAAGGGGATCACTGTCTTGGCATCTGACACCGACTTGGAGGCTGTCACAAACAAAATGCAAATGTTGCTTGATTGAGGAAAATGTCACCAATTGCTTTTCTGTAAATATGTAGTTGTTTTTTGTTTTTTTTTTATTAAATGAGTGAATACCTGGACCTGGAGTCCCAGCTGGTGTGGTGGTTAGGCTTCTGCAGTGTGGAGCGATGGTAACGTGGAGAAGAAGCTCAGAGCGGTTCATCAAACTTTTTACAAGCATTTTGGTTTTAGCCAGTGGGACGATGCCTCTGATGAGTGTGGCGTTTACTTCCTGGAAGAACTTCTCCCTGTTTGAGAATACATGAAAAGTTAGTGACGACTACCAAAACTGCCATTATAAAATGGCCATTATTTTAGTATATCCAATAAATATAAAAATAAATATGAAACTCATTGGGATTTTTTCCTCATTGTGTGTTGAAATCAGATGCAAAAGTTTCAGTATTTGTCAAGATATTTAAACGTTCATCACTGAAGTACAGCATAACAAAATATCATATTCTTAACAGCTGTAATATAATGTAATATAACAGTATATTATTAACAGTTATTTTGGTATTTAGTAGGATAAATGTACCCTAATATCATGTCTGTTGATCATACCGCACAGTAACCTCACTTCAGAGCAATCATCATGACTAGACCACTGTTAACTCTTCCGATGATTGTAAATACTTTTTACAAGCACATTTGAATAAATTGGCTTTTTTTTTTGCATGCAAGTGTAAAGTTAATGCAGTGAGAAAAACAGTTTTTAAAAAATAAAAGGAAAAATAGAACAAATTATACAATATCAACACAATGGGTTGTACATGAAAAGATTAAAGCATTTTAAAAGCACCAGTTCCAGGTACCTCAGTGCTAGAACAACATTCTCTAAATCACTGAAATCGAATGGAACCTCCTTCAGGGAACATAGTAATTCCAGTTCCTTCATTTTGTTCTGGCAAGAAAAAAAAAACAATTTCAATGGCAATAAAACAACTATGGTGTTTTCTATTTTCTAATCTCTTAAGCATAATGTAGACAGGACAGCTGAATGATACCTCAAAGAAGTGATAGTCGTGAAAAAAAGGAGTGTTGTTCTCCAGTTTTCCTTGCTGAGCCTCTTCTACCTCATTTTGCCACTTCTGTTCCAATTCTGCAACACTCTGAAAGCAAAGCAGGACATAAGAAAATATTTGAGGATTTTCTCAAAAGCACGGTGAGTAATTTCAAATTATAGACTCACTTGCAGCTGACGCTCCATTGCATTGATCTTTTTAAATGTCTCAGCCATAATCTTGCAGACTAGGTCATATTCCTCTGTGTGATCTTCTCTGTACTGATAGTTCACAAGTGACTGGAGAGCATCCACCAGACTCAGATGTTTAATGACACAGGAAACAATAACCTCTTCTAAGACGTCTGGACGGATCACCTCCCTGGCGCAAAACAACATGAAGGAGAAAAAAATCTGTGTTTTAGAAAAAAATGCTTCCACAATAAAACATAATAATTCCTGCTCAGTGCTTAATCTGAGGCAATACGTCTTTTCCATGTGATGGAACGATTCCCTTACTTGATGCTGGGGCGGAACTGTGGTCGAGCCCTTCCAGACACTTCCCTCAGCCTGCTCATGATGCCTGGAGGAAGGCGGATACGAGGCAGGTCAAAGTAGGACCCGGGCATGAGGCCAGGAGGCGGGATGAGAACATCAGACGGGTAGGTAAACTCCCGGTCCTCCTCAATAGTGAGTGGCAGTGGTGAGGGGCTGGGCGTGAGAGCTGGAGAGATGGCACCGTTTGCTTCCACCTGCCATTGGCATCTAAAATAAAACAAGAAAAGTCTGTAAGTATCACATATCTCCACCAAACGTTCTTTTGCAGTATCACTTCAATCGGTAAGCGGAGGACATTTTGAGAAACATTTCCCCGTAGCTGCATCACCTTTGCAAAAGCTTTGAGCACAACAAATCCTGGCAGGCTTCTTCTTCTCTCGTCACTTCTGGCCCGTTGTAAAGAATGCGGAGCATTGAGCAGGCCAGCACTGACAGACCCAGTGCGAGGTCTGCAAGGAAGGGGAGGCCTCCAGAGACATCCTCAGAGGACTCCTGTCGAACAAGAACAAACGGTGTGTTCAGGGGTGACGTTCGCACTGCGGGTGTGAATAATCAGCTGGGGATATGGAGGTGGAAGTACTTCCACTTGTTACCTGAGCTCTGACTGTACAGGCGAACCCCCACATGGCTTTATCAGGAGTGTTGTGTTCACGGCCACTTCTCATTTCAAAGGAAAATGTAACAGTATCGCCTTCAACCTGAATAGGATAAACAGGAAAAAAACTATTAAAACACAATGGCTAATACAGGCTCACTATACATCTGTGATTCAGATTTCAGATTACCTTTACAAGATCTTTAGGCCAACCCGTTCCTAAGACACTGCGACTTCCATACCCAAGAGTGTTTCCTCCATACTCTGTTACTTTACGACTGTTGGTGTTGGGACCAGCATAGATAACCAGCTAAAATACACAACATACTGAATGTGTAAACAGGCACGGCTGTTACAATTAACTGCACAGAATATGTGCAGAAGTCTCAAAGAATGAGGATTACTTGTACTTACAGTTGACAGAGTTATTACCTTGTCATAGTCGTACTGTGAGGAGCAGCGGGCATCGAAGCGCAGGTACAGGCAGCGAGCTCCCGGGATGTGCACCGTCTCCTTGAACTTGTAATTATCCCTCACAGGGTGCATCGTCTCGACCGTTTTCCCAGCAGCCCATGGAGCAGGGATCTTCAGTCCAGTCAAGAACCCGGCCTCTTCTCGCTCATCGAGAATTCTTATTTGAATGACACAAATAATCAGGGGTGTTCAGAAAGCTTTATGATGTAAACTAGTTGTATCATTCAGTTAGAGTGGATGGCAAAAGCATTCATTGTCCTCGAATGTTTTGCCATGTTGAAAGATTACAACAGCAACCCTGCATGTATTTTTGTGGGAGCTTACGTGGCAGCCCAACACAAATGACTACTTATGAAGTGGAGAAAAAAAAAATCAAACATGATTTTCAAAATCAAAACTTTCACAAATAAAACGAATCTACACAATAGAGTCTTTGTATTCACCCCTTTTTGAGTTTGTAAGGTCACCTTTTGCTTCCGTTACATTTGCTTGAAGTATGTTTCTACCAGTTTTCTACTGAAGTTTTACCCGTTCTTGTACTCAGATGATCATTTTATAATAATTAAAATGATCCAAAATTAGTGGATGACTCTTCCGTCTTCCTTTTCGCCACAGCTCATAACAAAGTAGGATTTTCTATAAACAATTTTTTTTTCTTGAAACACTTTCGTAATTGCCAGATTTGTGGCGTATTTGGCTATCCTGTCAAGACATTTACTAATTAGATAACTTCTAAAGATAACTGGTTACTCTGGACAGAAAATACAAATCCATACTTTGTTGAAAACCAGGTTTTATTTTCTTTCGACTTCATGATTATGTACTACTTTGTGTTTGTATATCACCTGAAATCCTATTAAAATATTTTGACATTTGTGGCTGTAATGAAATACAATAAAAATAGGTTGAAGGGTTATGAATACATTTTATGTAACATTTACAGAAAAACAATGCAATGTTAATTATTTTAATAGTAGTTCCGCTTTGGAAAACTCACTTGTCATCAGCAGTACATGCTTTAGCTCCCTGCCCGAGAGAGCCACCGACAGGTAGAGGATCCTCAGTGAAAAGGAGAGACTGAGTCTTGAGTAACAAGGCAGTCTAAAAAAATTGAAAAAAATAAATTAGCATTTTTATGACCTTTCATCATATGTCATAAAATATTTCTAAAAGACTGGCCATACTGACCTGGCTGGTATAAAGCACTAGCTGCACCAACTGGGGCATGAGGGCATCAGCAAGGGTGAGCGTCTGCAAGGTGGGATGCATCAGAGAGGTGAGTAGCACTGGTAAAAGGTGCCCAAGCATGGTCGCCTTGGTCACCTGCTCCAATCCCTTCAACCTGAACAAGGAAGGAAAAGAAGGGAAAATGTAATCACATAAAAAAGTAAAAAGATATACATTTTACAAAAAAATCTCCCAAAGGTGTTTTTATAACTTGCTATGCTTGTTTAGAAAAGAAATAACACCTTGACTTGTATTTTACTAAAATGTGTTTTGTGATAAAATGGCTAAACAAAAAGGTGGAAAGATAAAGTGTGCTAATCTTTACACACTACAAAAATTAAGGTTCACTGGGAAACTGACTTTTGACCAGTGAACTACAACGCCTGATCATTTTCCACTGAAAACAACATTCTTCTGTGTGGAAGCTGTTACTTTAGTAAAATGATTCAGTGTTAGCTGTTTTCCATTCCACTCAACCTTGTTTAATAATGGCTGCTATTTCTCCCACATAGCTAAGTGTTGACTATGCTTCTAATATAAATAATTAATGACTGCACACAACAGAAAGGCGACTTTGAACACTGTTCTTATGTCTTCTTATAACATTCCTACAAGAGAAATAAGTACAAATCTGTACTGGCCAAAAAAGTCTGATAGGTACATCTCTATTCAATTGAAAAGGATGCAGATAAAAGCTCACCTGGTCTCTCTGTCAGAGATGTCACTGTTAATCAGAGCAGTGGTCACCTGCTGCAGGGTCTCCAATACTTCATCACAACCCACCAGGATTTTGGTTGCTAGAGACAAGATGCTGCTCTGCAGCTCCTGAGGACAACACAGAATAAGCCCAGACTTACGTAACACTGCCTCAACATTTTTCAATAAAGCACAAAATCCTAAATCCATACATTTCATCCATTTTTGTTTATTGTAATCTCTCCATATTGGGATTTCCCCCCCCCCCAATACTACACCTCTATCAACTCCTTTGAACCCCTGAATTCTTCTTGTAAAGTAGAAGGCGTGCACCAAAACGCCATTATTTCTAGAAAAGGTTATTTGGGTCAAAATGTAGCTAACATTGAATACTATGTAATGCTACATTAAATATGTGCACTGCACAACCTTTTAAGTAGCATCCATACCAAGTTTAATCGTCCACTGCATTACATCATTGCTTGATTTCGCAAAGACACACACAAAGATTGAACGGTGGTAGGGGTAGTTAAAGGGGATGTTTACCTGTACCTTCATTGTTTCCCCTTGCAGGGAGCTATCACTGTCATCACTTTCATCTGGACGGATAAGAATGGTGTTACTGAGGAGGTGATTTTGAACAGCCATGAGGTAGCGCAAACAAGGTGAGACCACCTAAAAAAAAAAAAGTAGAGAGAGAGAAGAGTAAAAACCATCGGTAGATTGTGAGATGGTAAGCTTTAACAGAATGTGATTTGTCTGCATAGTTGATATTCAAGAGCTGCTGAGCAGATTTTCATACTGGTACAGTGGAGAGCAGCTTCTGGAAGTCATCTCTGGCAACAGTCTGACATTTAGTGATGAGGAGGCAGGACTCGCGGACAACTGTCTTCAGGACATAATGTAGAAGTTCATCGTTTAGTCTGAAAAAGATAAGTAGTTGAAACATTTTGAATGAGAAGATTTCTATGAGAACATACAGATGTAACTTGCAACTAAAAGTGCATTTTGTTGAGTAAGAGCCATCATTTACCTGTAGTGGTCATCATCTTCACTCCCAAACCTATTCTTCTGTAGTTGTTCAGCCAAGTTGGTGAGAATTACGTCACGAAGTTGAGACAGGCCACGGTTTCTTTCACCTGAGTATTCCCCGTAAAGAATGAGACTTGATGCCATCATACACCATTAAAACCACTAAATTATTTATTTTTTCCAAAAAATAAAAAAAAATCACCTTCAGTTAAAACGAGTTTCAGTAGTTTATTCAGTTCCGTCTCTCCTTGATACAAAGTGTTCAGGCCTGAGCTACATATGCAGAAAACAAGTAGAACTGTTAAAGAAAAAAGATGACAATAATCATTGAAATGAGGCATGTGTGACATACCTAATAGCCAGACACACTTCTCTCTGTATCTCAGTTCCTATCTGATCCACTGGAGCCATGAGCAACTGCCACAGGAGACGGCCAGATCGACGCACACTCTCTCTATCCTGCTCCGACAGGGGATTGAAGAACCTGAAAACCACCTGGATAAGACAACCAAACAGATAAATGGCTCAAAAACAAAGAACTGGTAGTCCTCTTATCTGTCATGAAATGAAAATGTACAGTCATTTGCTGCGTAACTTGACCTATCTAGGTCCGTGGCGTACCTGGAACACTACCAAAATGCAGCGGATAATGCAGGTATCTCTATTGACCATGGCCTTCTCCATAATGTCACAGATGCTGCCAAAGTGACGGGCTTCGATGGGATGCTGTTTACCCAGCAGCGCTTCCAGGGGCAGACTGTTGCTGCTGGCTGCCAGCAGGTTCAGCTGGTGGATACACATAGCACCGACATGATGAAGTAGCTGGTTGATCACCTCTCCAGTGGCCACCGTTTCCTCTGTCAAAAAACAAATTTCGCAATTGAACACAATTCTGAACTGGTTTCGTAAAGATGACGTGGTATCGGTTCTCGCTGCGTCTACCTTTGGGTTCCTTGATGACATGGCTAACACCGAGCCTATGGCACACATGATGAAAGGCTTGGTTCCCAGGATTGCACCACTGATCTATGTAGTCACTGGAGCATGTCCAGATCAAGTTGTTCAATGCATCATAGCATGCGCCTTTAAAACAAAGCATCAGAGAAACCGATGTAACGACACGCTAATGTAACAACGCAACTCACGAATGGCATCGTTTGGACCCACCTAGCCCTGCTACCTGGGCTCCCCTGCCAAGAGAACTGCCAGGAGCATCAATGAGGTCAGCGCGACTGCTGAACTGGCCATCAGCCAAGTTGAAGACCAGGCTGGAGGCTAAAACTAAAATGAAAAACAGAACATGTCATGCTAACTAACAACAATTTAAGCAAGCTAGTATTTACGGCAACGTATACAAGCAGCAGCAAAGCTTAAAAGTACTCCAAAAGCCAAACAAGCATAACATTATGAAAACCTGCCTAGGAGTGAGTTGGTCCCCTTTTGCTATCAAAAAACCTGAAATACAGTCTCTACTAGACCACTGAATGTGTGCTCTGCTGTCTGGAATCAAGATGCTAGGAGTGGGTTATTCAATTCCTGTAATTTAACAGTAAGTCAATACCGCAAACTTGTTGCTGAGTAAAAAAGCATTTCTCAATATTTTTTTGCCTTACTGCAGGACCTGTCATTCTGCTACCGGGCTACAAAAATCCGAGGATACCACTACTATGAAAAGGCGTGCATGGCCTGCAGCTGTAGTTAGGTAGGCAGTACATTTCAAAGTAACATGGACGGCAGGACCCAAGTTTCCCCAGCAGAACTTTCTCCAAAGAATCACACTGCTGTTCAGATGGTGTATTGTCAAGTCATGAGTACCTCAGGTAAGCAACTAACATTTTGTGTAATGTGTGTGTGTGTAATGTGTCCCACCCAATGATGTCTATCAGTGGTCATAACATTATGCCTGATTAGTATTTATGTGAATGTTTGAATTTAATAATATACTTTTTTCTTTTTAAAGTATCTCTGTCAGACTGGCGACCTGTCCAGGGTGTACCCCGCCTCTCGCCCGGAACGTTAGCTGGAGATAGGCACCAGCACCCCTCCCGACCCCACTGAGGGACAAGGGTGTTCAGAAAATGGATGGATGGAAGTATCTCTGCATTTCTAAAGAAAACTCAAATTGAGGTTTTGTTCTTACTTTTTAGAGAAGACAGGCTGCTGGTGCCTCCGAATAGGGAACGAGTGGCAGAACTCCCAGACACACCGGGAGGAGAAACAAGCATCACTAGGTAGGTGCCACACACATACATCGGGGTCTTTCTCAGCGTCTTCAGAGGGAGGCCACAACTAGTGTTTACAGCTGCAGAAGAATTAGATGCCAATATGTCATAGGGGGAAAAAAAATATTAAAACTAAATGTTACATCATTTGTTATGTATTAGACAACTGTAGTAGATTATCTGTTATTACCAGACTGTTCCTCTTTGACAGTGTTGGTGATTGCAGAGCCTGTGAGAGCAGCCAGTGTGGCAGAATGGGAGGCCCGGAAGCGTGACATTCGACTCAAGAGAAGTTCATTCAAGCACTTGGAAGACTCGCCCTCTTTGCGAGTTAGAATAACTCTCTCTTGCAGGATGTCTGCAACACACAACCCTGTCTGCGTCTGTGCCACAGAGAGGATAAAGAACACCAACATGACTTGAAGAAGAAGAAGAAAACAAAATGAAACAGCTCAGGTTATACTGCAGGGTATGTAGACCTCACCGACAGATGAAAAACATCCATGAAGACAGAGTGGCCTTTCTGCGTCTTTTCATTGAGACTTGCTGGGGACCAGACCCAGTACAGATAAGTTCCATCTGAGCAGAGATGGAGCGTGGTCATGCTGCTGCCCACGGGGAAGTGATGGGCTGGCATGGGCACAATCTGGCACACCTGAACATATAACAAAAAAAAAGAATAGAATGGTATCAGATACATCTACAATTTTCTATTTGCTTATGCTACTCTCCATCTTTTATCTTCAGCGTGGTCACTCACAAAACACATTCATGACAAACAGATACTGTACATTATATTAATATGTTTTTATTACTGCAAAACAAAACATTTGTTCAACACATTTAGAAATTTGCTTTGCAATAGACTGAAAGTAGGCAGTACCTGTAGAGTGAAGGGATCAACAACCTGGCACAGCTGATGAGGCTTGGCATCAAAGGAAGAAGGACGGTGGAGGAGACGACCGCTGCTGAACACAACCCAGCCAGGCTCCAACTCTTCATTTCGACAATACACAAAACCCCTGCGCAAACATGTTACTGTTGTTATTACAATTTTATCGTACTGATACAATATTTGAGTAAGTTAAAAAAATCTCACGGCTTTTGAATACACGTGATAAACAATACTGACAGCTACCAGAAAGGAAATGGGCAGAGAGAGAACGAGGGGAACACATGCAACAATGGTGTAAGGGTCAGAAATCAAACCCAGGACAAATACTTCGAGGACCAAAACCTTCTTATGTGGGAAACCCGCTCTATCGCTACACTATGAAGCAAATCCTGAACATTTATTACTGCACAATTAGTAATTTTTATCGTTTTTAGTATGTTTTTGCTTTGCAAGAACCCACCTAGAAAAAAGAAACATAGGATGGCTTTACAGTTTTAAAATTAAACTATCTTGTTCTTTTGTTGTTGTTGTTTTTTTCCCCATTGTTGCCACAAATAGAATGAGTTTATCTTCATCGCTACCACATCATTGAGCTCACATCCTTCAAATGTGAGAGTATTTCTGTCACAGTGGCAAGTGCCATTTAAGTCTTCTGCATCAGTCTATTTTCTGTTATTACTTACGGAGAACTAATAATTCTACATTCAGTCAGGCACGGCACACTTTTAATTTAATTTATTCTACGCGGTTTGGTGTATGAGACAGCAGAGTTAACTCAAAAATAAAAACTGAAAATATTGGTGTCTCTGCAATTACTGGCAACTTGTGATCCTACTTTTAACCTGCTGATAGCTGTGACAGATCCCAGCAAAGTTCTCTGCTAAATTAAATATTTACCGAAAATGAACAAATAAATCACTAAAAATCAGTCTAAACATTTACTTCACAATTTATTTATGTGTACAGTCAATGTGACTAATTTGACAGGCAATCGCTTCATTTAATAAGAACCAATTGTGGCGAGGTATCGACTGTGCTCTTGAGAAAAGCGTCAGTGAGCTATCTGTCATGCTGTATCATGCTGGTAACAGCTACAATAGACGAGTGAACAGCATGAGTTGATAATTGTCAGCCCTGCTGCAAGACTGCGGCAATGAAGTTTATTGCAATTATTCCCTACTGTTAGGTTTAAAAGGAACATTGTGGCCTTGTCTTTTTGCATCTCAAGTTAGTTTTCTCAGACTGAATCAAGCAACAACTTCATTCTGTATTTCCAGAATAGTATTTGATTACTTGCTTGTTTTATGCTTCCCCGATTTTCTTTAAGCTTCTGTGCGAACACAAGAAAACCTGGCTCTTTGAGTTCCAAACACATGCCAGAGGAAAGAAGTCTTAGCTTGCTACAACAGCAAGCTCATTAAAATTAATCCACTTTTGACTGTGCACTTTACATAGGGGTCTATAAAACATCCAGGACATAAACGGGCCACATCACTGCCTTCAGTGATGGATAAGTGAATATGTTGCTGTAGATGAAAATATGGGTAACACTTTATTTGAAGGGGGGTGAATAAGACTGTCATGACACTTTCATAAACATGTCATAACACCTGTCATGAACATCAATAAGCCTTCATGAATATTTATGACTGTTGTCATAAAGCGTCATTCAGTAAATTATGACACTTTTAATACAAAGTTGACATTATTCAAAATGTCATTGTTATGACAACTTGACATTAACCAGAAAATCATTACTGTTTAAACTTTACCTTTAATAACATAAAGTTACCTAATTTTTAAAGTGCAATCAGTAATACTTTTATAACAAATTTATATCAGTAATGATTTCTTGGTTAATGTCAAGTTGTCATAAAGACATTTTGAATAATGTCAACTTTGTATTAAAAGTGTCATAATTTACTGAATGACGCTTTATGACAACAGTCATAAATATTCATGAAGGCTTATTCATGTTTATGACAGGTGTTATGACATGTTTATGACAGTGTCATGTCAGTCTTATTCAACCCCCTTCAAATAAAGTGTTACCAAAATATGCAGTGGAATGAGTGTTACATTACCTCAATGTTCCATGTAAACCAGAGCCAAGCTTGCTTAGTCCTCTCCCAGAAGAATTAGTGGTATACAGATATAGACCATCTGTGGCTAGACAGCGCCCTAGGTCTGTGTCTGCAAGACAAGAGGAAAACAATGAGAATGAAAAGGGGAGTTATTGATCAATCTGTGTATATATCACAAATATGCAATGCAGACTACATTTTAAAATGTCATGTCTTTTTGGGTTGTTTTTTTTTAAATAATACTAAAAACATGAAAACTGAAGAACTATCCGATTAGCAGCTCTTTTTCACACATATTGGTTAATGTTACCTCTGGTTCTAATGCAAAAAAAAAATCATTATCAATCACAGAATGGCTTCCAAAGGCCCTTATAAGGATTTCGCCATATTTCCGAGTAATGCAGAGAAGCACAGCTCTTATAACAAACATGTTGTAAAGACAGTTCAACTTTTGATTTATCCAGACAGAAAGAAAAAAAACAAAACATTCTACAGTATATATAAGGAGAAATTGGAATTGGCTACCATCTGTATCGGCAGACCCAAAAATTCAAAAGTACAAGGGGCCAGAAAATGGCCACAAAATTATATTTACCTTTACTTTCTGCTCCTCCAGTGGAATTGTCAGGAGTGGGCAGCATGTCCTCAAAGCCCCAAGACACACTGTGCTTACCCCCTAAGAGGCAGGATGGGGACCCCGGACCTCCCTCAAGGAGCAGAAGTCTTGTGCAGGCAGGACAGGTTATGCAGTGGTTACATTTTGATAAATAAATAATTTTTTTCAGATAATCTAAATGGCTTCCCCCTACCTGTAAAGGACATCTGACACAGGAAGATGGCCCAGGTCTCTTTGTTTTTGCAGCAGATGAACTGTGTGAATGAAGGTCTTCAAAGAGCCCCTATGAGGTAGTTTGATATAAATATCAGGACCCAACATGAAACACAAGAGTAAGAGCAATGCAGAATACTTTTCAATCCTTTGTATATCGTTTTATTTAGTATTTTTTCCCGAATATAAAAAAGATATTATAGTCCACAATGAATTTCATCAGTGCTGAATGCATAAACCTGCTTTATGCTTTGTGATTAACAATAACTACACAAACCTAACTGAACACAAGCATGTAACTCATCAAACTATAAGAATATCTGTGTAAAGGTAGCAACTGCAACATTACATTAATATAAACAAAATATGTCACCCCCAAGTATTATCTTATAATAACATTTATCTTTACCATTATCTTTTATCTTTATAATTATCTTTACTATGATGTGTGTACAGCAGCTGGGGACAAAACTACACCATTTGATTTGCATGTGCAACAACACAGCATTTGACCAAATGCCTACAAAACCAGCTTCTTAAAAAAAAGATCCACTCTGGCATATGTTTATGATTCCAAGTTCAACTATGTCTCACATACAAACTTTTTTTTCCTAAATTAAAATGTCCACATCTTGCAATGCAAAAAGTTTATTAACCACATAGCAGTGAAGCCCACATGGTTACCTAAACCTCACACATTAGTGACTTCCTAACCAGAGTTCAGGAAAAGTAAAGCTGATTGTCCTTTGATTAGCTCCAACTCGGGTTAAATAAAGGGAGCATTGCTAGATGGTTCCACACAACAAAAAGCAGACACTAAACAGCTCTCAACCTCAGCTGAGGCTAAACAAAAAGTGGACCGTTCTGGTTTTGACAGGCTTATGTTTGTTGTCACCAACAGTTGCTAAGAGTTTAGACACAAATGTAAACAGGCATTATGTTCTTTAGTGTAAAAAAAAAAAAAAAAAACATACATCGAATCACATTTACTGTTGGAGTTTTTTATACAATACTAATCAAAACTACATCAATGGGAAAAACATTTTAGGTGTTAATCAGTGTTAGAGGTCAGCCGACAGAGCATGTTGCAGGATACAGAGAGCTTTCATTCTGAACACTGGGCTGTGTTTGCAGGGAGCAGAAAAGTGTGCTTATACCAAAAATACCTTACCGTAAACTAGGACATGTTTAAGGTTAATTTAAGATTTCCTCTCATATTTTAAAAAGAAAGGAAAAATATATGAATTGTTTTGTTTTTTAAACTTTAAACAAGTGTTATTGTTCATGCAGCATCTGCAATGGAAAGGAACTGATCGGATTAAGTTACCTGCTAATTTTAGAAAATGTTGCTAATAATAACCAAATTTTTTCAAAGGGAAGTTAATGATAAGCTTCTGTTATTTAAACAACTAAGGACGTTTAAATAACTTACTAAGTAATATTTAATTGTGCTCATCGAGAATCAGCTTTAAGTTTTAATGCTCCTCTAACCTGGAACAAACTTCCAGAAAACTGGAAAACAGTCGAAACATTGAGTCCCTTTAAATCAAGGCTAAAAACACTCTTGTTTAGAGTTGCCTTTGATTTATAATAACTGGAACATCAACCAATACATTTGATGATTTTGATTACGGAATTTGACAAAATGTAATGACTATTAAAGTTTGATAATTTGTTGGAGAGTTATGTCTTTATGGTGTAAAGGACTTTGAACTGCCTTATTGCTGAAATGTGCAACACAAATAGCATCAAATAAACATTCAGATTGTGTTGTTCTACCCATGTTGACACGAGCCATCAGGAAGACGGAAAAAAATGTGGCCTCAAGGCCACGAGGACAGATGTTATTGACTCACCTGGCGCATGCAAGGGCCACAAGTGCAGCAGCCGCATTTTCCCGCTGTCTCTGTGTGTGAAGAATCTGTGAGCGAGCCTTAGGCTGAGCCTGGCCCGAATCCTGGGGCTCATCTTCTAGCCAGGAGCACAGCAAGCCCTCCAGGCCATTGAGACAGTCTGAAGGCTCTTTGCTGAGGCTGAGCGGCTGGCAATCCCGGAGGCAGGCTAGCAGTACTTCTGCCGTCACGCCGCAGAGTGCTGGGTCGCTGCGAGTCTGGGACTGCAGCAGGGGGAAGACCAGCAGTAGGGCGACACGGGAAGTGAAAGGAGCTTGCTCAGGTTGCTGGAGGAGACCTTGTCTTTTGAGCAAGGCCAGGGTCTCCTCATCGGCCCCTCCCGTCCCCTCACGGTCCTGCTGCTCCTCCAGGGCCAGCTGCCGCTGCGCCGCCCACAGGCCGCGCAGAGCGTTGAGACGGTATTCCAGCAGACGAGCGTATGCATTGCTCTGATTCCCGCAGACGGCACGGAGACGCTCTGCAAGCTCAACGGGGTTCTTTGTCTCAAAAGTAAGAATCTGAAGAAGAGAATTAGAGTTTAAGTAAGATAAGATGAGAAGATGTAAAGACCATATGAACCTACAGGAAAATAGTAAAAAAAAAAAAAAAAAAAAATAAATTTTTTGAAAAAAAATGTGAAAATTTAAAAAATACAACATTTTTTG